TATAATTAAGATAAAATGCAATAAACGTTAAGTTATTTTACTCTGTTTATTGAATGTCATGTCTTGTTTATTGATTCCTTTGCTTAGGAGTTATGTGGAAAGGGTGATCAACAAGCACTTGGAGAAAGTAGAAGTTTCAATGAAGCTCTTCAAATGGTTGAAGAACCTGCCAATGAATGTTCTTCCAAAGAAACATCATACGAAATGGCATTATGGACTCCACCATTTGCTACTGGAATGACTTCTCCACTGGTAAATATTCGATTTTTAACATATTTGCGCTATTGATACATTATTGATTTCTGTTCAGATTAATTTTTCTATTCCTATGCTCTTAGATGTCTTCAATCTCTTCTCCCAAAAAGCCTCAAGCAGCAACTTCAACTACTCACATGGAAATGGAATCAGGCAGCTCTGTTGTTACTGATTAATCTGCACAAGTAAGCCTTTATTGTACTGCATCAGTTTTGGGATCTAATGTTATTCTTTAAAACTGGCATATACTAATGCTATAATAGTACAATTTGATCATCAACTCGTACCCACATAATTTATATATGATAGTTGCAAAGTAATGCTTCATTTCATTTGCTTCAGTGCCAAATTATGGTCAATTAAAGAGAGACCTCCATCAATGATAATCTTATTAGATTACTTCAAATAATGAAGGATGGTTCCCACTTAGAAGTTGGCCTGTCTTGTATTTCCAAAATTGCTGCTCTTGAAGATGACAAGGTGGCTATGGCCTTTGCTGACATAGAATCCTCATCGAAAGTAGATCTCTATCAGATAGCTCACTCTGAAGAACATACTAATCACCATGAGAATGAACTCAACTTCTTGTCTACCCATTATTCTGAAAAAGAACCTCTTCTTATGGCCTTATTAGAGGCAAAATAGACTCCCTCCATCAAGAAATCCAAAAAATTCTCTCATCCTTCAAGCAAGCTTATGATAACCTTGACACATTCACCAAGCTTAAAGAAAAAGAGAAGTGGATCGATGAACAACATTCTCAAAGGGAAGAGGCAGCATGAAATCTTTTGCTTGAACTGAAAGAGCAGATCTCTAGATTGCAGGCTGAACTAAAAAGCAAGGAAGAAGAATTTGAGGACTGTGAAATCAAACTATCATCTCTTCAGAAGCAAAAAAAGGAATGTGTCTTGGACACCATAGGGTTCATGGATGAGTACGAGGCTGTGAAGAAAGAAAAGCCCTAGGTGGTGGATGGCCAAACAAAAGCAAGCCAAGAACTAAAAGAGTTGGAAATCAATGGCCTTCTTGTGTGGCTGATTTGAGGAAAACTTCACTTTTGTTGGGAATCCTTTTTCAGCAGAAGCGCTGATAGTTGGATATTGTCATGTTGTCACGCGAACGCGCGCAGACACACATATATAAATATATTCTAGTGATTTTGACTTAGCTTAGAGTATGGGTTGGTTTCGTACTAGATAAAGACTTATTAATTTGTACGAAACTAATTTTGATACTAATTGCAGTGACAAATATTATGATACTCATCATTACAGTTAATTGTACCTCCATACTTTGGTGCCTTAAATGTTTTAAGTTTTAGAACATAATTTGGTATTAATATTTTGTGTAGTGGCGACACTATTCACAGCAAAGTATTTACATTATTTCTCCACTGAATTATGTGGAGAAATAATGTTTTGGAGGGGAAAATCACCTATTAAGCTTTGCCGTGCATCAAGGAGATAGTTCCTATAGGAGCGATATTTATAATGACCGCATGTTTACATAAGAGACTTCCAAGACAGAATAGATAATGAATTATGTGATTTTAGCCTAAATGATGTAACAAACTCACACACACTTAAATCTAATGCAGAGCAGAGGAGATTTTAGGGGACAGGAAATAGAAACAGAGAGAAATTATGGGGGAAAGGTAAGGAACAAAGAGAAACGGAGGGAGAAATAGAGAGAGAATGAACAGAATGGGCGAAGGAGATAGAGACTAAGGGAGAACAGAATAGAATTTAGGGAGGGAGTTAGAGAATCAGTAGAGGGAGAGAGAGAGATTTCATAAGCTCAAATCTTCATTCATCCAAAAGTCCCTCCAATACATATGCTTACCTAGATTAAGATTTCTTTCTTTATGGAGTAATCTTGATGACAACTTGCTACTAGAAGCAAAATCAAATTTGGCTTCCTTCACTAGAAGGAAACTTGATAGCAACTTCCTATTAAAATAGAAAAGCAAAATCAAACTTGACTTCTTCTACTAGAAGAAAACTTGACGACAACTTCCTAATAAAATATAAAAGCAAAATTCAATTTGGTTTCCTTTAGTAGGAGGAAACTTAATGACAACTTGCTAATACTTTACCACTAAGGAAAGCCAACTTGCATAAAAATAATAAATTTTAAATTTTCTTCTAATATAGGTATTCTTATATTCTATCACTAAACCACCTAAACCTTGAACTCATGGTGTAGCAAGAGAAGCTGTGTTAAAAGGGTAAAATTTAGCATCCATGTTTGTTTATTTTCAATCATTCTCTTTCTTTAACAAAGAGGTAAAACAAGAAAGCGTGGTATACATAACCAATGATATAAATCTTCTTAAAATACATGAGCATGTGATTAATCTTATTTCTTCGGCTATATATCTAAGGCCACTCTGTTCTATACATTTTAGTATTAATGGACAGCTTCGAGTGTCATCATCAGCTAGCGTAAGTTTAGCAGCAAAGATGGCAACAGTTTGAGCAGTACCTCAACATATTCAAATCCATTTCATCTTTCTATGCAACTCAACTGTATGTTATTGAAAAGTTGCAAGTGTTATGACTTGTTGGAAATTATAAACATGCGTAACGATGTCTGAAGAGCTACTTTTGAGGAGATTGTACTCAGCTTGAGAAAAGCAGTACATTACTGCAACATCGTGCTATATCCCTTTTTAAATTTGGATTGGATTACTTCTCTTTTATGTGGCATAATTAAAGCTATTTAACTTTTTGTTTGTAAAAAATCCCACTTTATTTAAAGCATGATTGTGACGTTACATTTTGATCAAGAATTTTATTAGAGAGCAGAAAGTTAAATATCTAAAGCAATGGACTAAAAATTTGGTTGCCTAAAATGTTGTATCGTTCTGCAATGAACTTGAATTTTTGGCCCAAAAAAAAAAAAGAAGAAGAGGAAGTTAACTTGATTTTATTAAATTGAAATCCTCTGTTTTCATGTGAAAGCAGCATGGAATTCTAATATCACTGATCACCGTACTTCTATGACATGGGATTTTTTGAAGGCCTTCTTTTGCAAAAGTACGTGCTGAAAAATCTCTCCCTCCAAAATTTTGAGACGGAATTTTCCCTGGTTCGGAGTTAGAATACTTTTCCCGGCTATGAATTTTTTTTGTGTGTGTAAACTTAGAGTCTCCTAACTTTAGGCTTGAGATTATTAGGTTTAAGAGTAATTTCTGTTTGGTCAGGAATATTAATGTTAAAATCCTCCAAACCAATGCTTTTCTCAAAATTCCAATGTGTGTGTGTGTTTTTTTTTCATAGGATGAAATTGCTTACTATCTCAATTAACAGTTTGTTGGTTTTCTAATTATAAATTTATTAGACTGTATGATTTTGTTTTGTTTTTGTTTGAAAATTTCGAACTTTTGTATGGATAAAGTGAAGTAAAAAAACAAGGAAAACCTTTTTCACAATAATCAAATTTCAAAACTATTTAATGCTGAAAGGAAAAATTTGTAAATTTTCAATAATATTAACTTTTTATATAACATTTTTAAAAGGGAAAATTAGGGATAATCCTTATTGAAAATTTAATTGGCAAATGGGACCTAGGATGATTGGTTGTATAAGAAAAGATTATTTGCACAAAAAGGATGATAAGTTGCAAAAAGGGAAGATAGTTTGCACAAAATATTATTTGGATATAAGGAATTAGTTTGCATATAAGGAAGATGACTTGCACATAAGAAAATTTCATTTACACAAAGGGAAATTGAGTTGCACATCGCACAAAAGAAGATCATTTCACATAAAGAAAGATACATTGCATGCAAAGGAAGATAAGTTGTATACAAATCAAGTTAAGTTGCACACAATTATTAGGTTCTATTTGCCAATTAAATTTTTAACGGGGGATTTATCCCCAATTTTCCCTTTTTAAAATTAAGAGTAGCACTTGAGAGAAATTTTTACTCAAACTCAAGATACTCCTCCAACTTTCTCTTGCTTTCCCAGCAGCCAGCTAAAATCACCTTTTAACCCAAAAAAAAAATGGCCCGAATAAATAATTTTTAAATTTGGTCTGCGTGCACAATATTTTCAATAATCAAATTAAAAAAATTAATACGAAGTAATTTCTGTGAAAAAGAATTGATTAGCGAAGAGGCCAGAAGCAAGCAATAATGTTACAATTAATGGGCATATGCCTGGTACCGTATGAAAATGACAAGTGAATCAATGGCTTATAGTTTAGTTGGAGCTGGGCCTATCTCTCCACCGACGCATTTACTCCTCTAGAATGGACTGGAGCCTCCACGTTTCAAGTGCCACACTTCTAGTTGAAACTAGGATTTTCTCCCCGTGCGCTGCACGGATGGTTGCTATGCATGTAAGTTAATCGCAGAGTCATAGAGTTCTCGATGTGGCATAATAATGGCAGCTGTCATATTGATACTACAAAGTTGAAAGGCTGTTCGCGAAATGGATGATTTGGTCACTTGGAAAGAACATTCTGAAAGACCTCCCAAGAAGCCACACCACAAGTAACGTTGGTGGAAGACCCCCCGATAGAGTCTTTCACGTGTGCAACTATTCTTTATGGAGGCTCTTTGTTAAGTATACATTATTCTATTTGATTAATTCAAGACTGACAGAGGAGATGAACTGTGAAGTTCTGTCGAAGGAAGTCCTCATAGTAATAGTGCGAAGACTGTAGTCGGCCTATGACAATGAGAATGAGGTCACTCCAAATGCACATTCTGGAAGACTTCCCTGTAGACAACATTTCTAGTAACGTTCGTGGGAATCCTGGAATGAGCTGCTATCTTGATCGGTGCTGGAGACAGAGTCGGAGCTGAGATACTGAACGGAGTCTCCAGGGAGGAGTGACAGCATGTAATCATTTATCTGGTCGATGACATTGGTCGTGGGGGCCAAAATCGCCCTTTCTGTGAGGTAGTTTGGATGCGTGATGTTCTGGTGGAGTGCCGGATATGTGGATGAGACTATAGAGTGGATAGGGTCAAGGGAGTCTGTGATGAGGAAATCGACCGGGATCTCAATGTCCGTCGTGCCCTCATGGGGTAGTCCAATTATACCATCACCAACGTCAAGCAACCATTTGGAAAATTTACTGATCTTTTTTTGGTCTATTGCGTCTGATGCCGTCTGCAGGCGCATGTTTTTAGTGAGCTGGAACAGCTTGCACGCCGACCAAAGAACGGATGAGTTTATAGCGGCGTCTATAATGTCTGCACGGAATCCCTTCGGTATGACAGGTAATATGTGCCTAAAATCTCCCCCCATGACGACGCACTTGCCGCCAAATGGGAGGTCGCACCTCATTATATCCTTTAACGTTCGATCGACAGCCTCCACACAGTGCCGTTTTATCATTGGCGCCTCATCCCAGATGATTAATTTTGCAGACCACAGTAAGTGAGACACAGGGGAACCGTGGCTAATGTTACATGTGGAGTCTTCATTTATGTCAATGGGGATTGCGAATCTCGAATGAGCAGTCCTTCCTGAGGGCAGTAGAGTCGCTGCTATTCCGCTCGATGCGACGTTGATGACCACATCTCCATTTGCTCGTACTGTCGCGGTTAGGGCATTCCAGAGAAAGGTCTTGCCAGTGCCCCGTAACCGTAGACGAAGTAGAACCCACCAGTCGTCCGGCTGACCGCATTGAGGACCTCGTGGAATATCTTTATTTGCTCATCTGTCAGTGAGGCTACCAACCTTGCGGCATCCGCGGCACAAGCATCTTTGTCATGGCTAAGTTCCTGGAGTAGCAAATTGTTTGTTGTGTCCAAGAATTCGGTGGAGCTTGGTTTTGGCAGCGATGGGTAGTCGTCCAGTGACCTGCCATTCTTTAGGAGCAGCCTCTGAATCTCAATCAGTCCAGCTTCCTCCCTATCTGAGTCGCTGATTGATATTTCTGCAGGTCAAAAAAAGTAAGAGATGTCATTGCCCGGAACGTGTAACATCAACAGATGTCACTAATGGGGGTGACGACGTGGTGTCGGTACAGGGTGTGCATTATATGTCCAGAATGTTGTGTAAGTGAAACATAGTTTAGGTGATGTCTATTCTACCTTGATGCCGTGGGTCGTGCTGTGGTATGTACAGAAGGTCTTCACATATGAGATGCTTTGTTTGCTCCCAGACTAAAATGGGGTTAGACAAGCAATGGCATAAGAGCATGCTGACGAAGAATCTCCTGAGGTATTGACCTGTAGCCCAAAAGGCTGCCTCTTTTACCGCGTCGATGTACTCTTGATCATCCTGAAGCAACCCCAGTGCGTAGCACGCGGCCCTAAATGTTGGCTGGACGACGTTGTCTACTGTCCTGATGTCTCTGTAGCTGAGAGGCCCTCTCATCTTAGTCAGCAGGACTCGGAGGTAGTAAGCCTCACCTTGTGATGGTGATACATGAGCTAATCTGCCAACAGAGAATCCTCTCCGGCGCATCCTCCATTCCCTCTTTTGCTTATTGAAAGTGTAATACTGTGGGAACTCGGTATATGTTAAGGTCCTTGCGAATGAGTCTTCTTTATTCTTGGCGAGCCATCCGAGAAACATTGACTCCTTCACCCGGGGCCTTTCAACCAGTGAAGGCATTTCGTCATTGGCCGTGTAAAAAACAGCCTGCTGATCTGGGAGATGGAAGCTCAACCTCTCGACAGAGGGGTACCTGCGGTGAATGTCAAATGAGAATATTCACCATGCGCCTTCGCAGGCTGAGATGTATCTGCAATTAAGGTAATGTGAGATCTCATCGAAATCACGTTGTGAGCTGCCAGGCTCATCGTTGTGGTAGATCCCTGCGATGACATGGTCATGGCCCTTGCTGATATATTTGAACAAATATTTGATGGCCCTTGATTGGTTTGTCTTCTCGACATTCAAGTGGCCCTGGAAGAGCCGTAACAGTTGAGCGTTGTACGGCACGACATATCTGTTGTCCAACTGAATTCCTTTTTTCATAGTCATTTTGCCATTGTTCGTCCTGCGATATGTGGGGTACCCCTCATTGTCTATTGTTGTGTGTGCCGCATATCTTCTGGGGAAGTATTTTGAGCACTTTCCGTCCTTCATGCAAGGTGATTTCTGATTAGAGCTGCCACAGGGTCCATGGATCATGAAGTTGGTGACAAGCTCGTACAGTGCAGGGTCTGTGTCTTTGTCTGGTATCTCTACTGAGATGATTCTGTCAACGTCCTCAGCTGTCTTGGGTTTGTCACAGGGCTCTATGAATAGAATGATGTGTGCATTTGGCAGCCCCCGCTTTTGGAACTCTATCGTATATATCTCTGAAATTCCGCATATCAATATACAACAGTGGTGTATTTTGAAGTTACAGAAGTAAATGTGATAATTTAACTATAGTTTTTGTATCTGTTAGAGGGTGGGATATTGTGTTAGACGGTCTTTGGAAATGGAGTATGTATGTCCCCCGTACTTTGTGGAGAGGTGATTAAAGGGAGGTTGTATTATTACCTGCTTTGATTGTGCCGAATATTTTTTTCTCCTTAATGCATTTCATCAGTGCTGCAAGTTTGAGGCTGAACATCCTTGTCAAAATGTCGGGTCGATCAGATGGGCTGAGGCTGTGTTTCTGGCAGAATCTTGTTATCTCAGGCCATGCGGGATTGCAAGTGAATGTTAGGAAGATGTCGGGGTATTCCTGCCCATCTGCATATGGCCATTGCATCCCGGTAGTTGTGGATCATGTATCTAGCACCTCCAGTGAAAGAAGAAGGTAGGATGATCCTCTTTCTTGTGTTGGACGGATCTGTTTCGCCTCTTGTCACTGCATCAGCGAGTCCTTTGTATAGGTCAACCCTGAGCTCTCTCTGGTGTCTCCTTATATAGTCAAGCCTCTCATTCTCGACCATTGCAAAGCTGTCTACAATGAATTGCTATAATAACCTCTTTGAGTGTAGTAACACGGAGTCCTTTATATTTCTGTCCATCCGTCTGAAAGTGAGGTACTCTCGTATTGTGAGGTACTTTTTCTTCTTTGTGCTAATAAGAGATGCGTCGTTATGTTCCGTCTTTGGTACGAATCCGTTATTGCCGTAGTGGAAGATGAGGGGATATTGAAGAGGCAAGTAAGACTTGTGTAGTTCATGGACGTGCTTCAAGGAGCCTGCTTTCTTTTCTATGATTATGTCTCTGTTGACATATGATTCATCGAAATCTCCGACTATCAACGTGGCTACCTCCGATGCCATGGGCAGCTCATAATTTTTGCTCCTATCGTTTGATTCTCTGAGGAGCCGTATCCGAACATCGGCGGTGTTGTCTTTGCGAAGGATCTCCGATGCCATACGGTATTTCTTGACCAGGGCGTTATGCTGATCGAGGCAATCTTTAATGTCGAGAGCAATGGCTTCATCAACAGCCGATTTGTCTGGATGGTGCCTGCAATTCAAAGCCAAGTGGTTTATTTTGAGCTGTGTTGTAGAGGGAACATGGTGATGGAGGATATTAGTAGCATGAGGGGGACGCACCTGATCGCTGCCATTCGGTTCCCTATTTCATTGTCCGTGTCGTAAATGTACAGCTGGGAGTACACAGGGGGGCATCCTTCAGGTGGCAATAAGCTTCCCAAGAGATGATAGTTTTGTCCGGACATAGTGAAGGAGTAGGGGCCGCCTCCACGGGAGTTGAGGGAATGGTCAATCTTTTCTCCCATGGAAGTGAAGCAGAACATATTATTGTATGCTCTGATGTTTGCCAAGAAGTTTTTAGATTTCGGATGTCCTTTCTGGAAGAAAAGGTGCCGGAATTGTTCTGGTGGCTTCTGGAGGTAAGGCACCACAACCTTGCCGTGACAGCAACAAATCGAGAAAAGTGGGTATTCAGAAGAAGAGCAACGCTTGAGGCGCTCACCTAGCCAAAGTAAGGCCCGACAAAATTGACACTCGTAGATGGGGTCGCCATCATCTAAGTAGCCTGTGCCCGACACATGAGGCTGGGTGCATTCAGTGGCACTGGTCGTTTGTCTGTCATGATGGGCAACTTCTGTACCAGTACCTGTGTGTAAGGTGGGGTTTCATCGAATTATTTCTCTTGGTTGAATCATTACCATACACTACCTATTGATTGGGGGGCAATACACTACCTTTTGTTTGTGTTGATAAATGATAAAAGAAAACATATATGTTTCATGAAACTTTCTTCCTCCTTGCCAAACACATATGAGAACACGTTCGGTAGGGAAAAGGAGGAACGGTGTAGTTAATAGGCCATAATACCTCTTCTATTGAAAAAATAAGGGGGAAAAATCCCAAAAAACATCATCTGAATTTCAAAATTCTAAATAAAAATTATTACAAAAATATATTGTCATTTGTTTTTCAAGAATAGTCAAATATTTGATTTGGGATGTTGAAATTTAATAGCTATTTTCTGAAATTTTCTCACAAAATACAAGCTCAATTACAACAGCCATTTCATTGAGTTCTCCATCGCGATAGTTAAGGAAATGTAACTATTTCTTCTTTTCTTTTTTTTTCTTTTTTTCAAAAAAGAACTACAATTTCGAAGATGATAATAACCTAGTCTTATCATCCGTTTTATATAAATGGTATTTGCGTCATCTATTTGTTCTTTCAATTTATCATATACGGATATTTTTATTTCTTTTTCATCAACATCAAATATATACGCACAAATTAATTCCATGCAAGGTCTATTTCCCTATATTATTCATTATCGGATCGAACCTGAGGTTTACCCAAGTTGTGGAAAGTGCTCGTTGCTATAAGCCCTTTTTTTTCCTAGAGTGTTTATATGTATATTTCTTTTCAAAATTAATAAATGTTGGAGGCATAGTTGGAACCTGAAATTGGACTTTTGTCGTATTATATAAAATATAAAATTAATTATGCTATAAAATTGAGGTGTGAAACACTTCTGTCCCCTGGATTTCAAGTATCACTATGAAAATAAAGTTGCTATATTTCTACGGAACTAACTTTATCCTAGGCACTATAGGAATTAATGACATGAGACATCTATTCGAGAAGGAGGAAGTACCTGTTATGATATGCTGATCGTGGATGGGATTGACGGTAGCATCTTCATTGGTTGTGTCTTGAAACCGGCTTTTCTTTGATTTGTGCAAGATTGACTCTTGTATATAATGACTTGTATGATCTGTCTTTGAATTATTTCAGTCATTAGCACAAGATATGAATACGGTTACTACTAAAAAAGCATTAAACAATAGGTTTGTTGTATCTTTAGTTTTCACATTTTTATGCAATACCCATAAAGAGAAGTCAACCAAAGTCTACTATATAGCAAAATGCAGAACTGAACCCATCATTCTAGAATCTGTAAGTACTATGTAATCATTCAAGTGTTTTAATATTGCCTTCACCCTGTAATCTAGATATTTCCAGATTTTAAAGTACCATCTTTATTAGCATGTGGAGTCTTACTTCTTATTTGACAAATATAATGTGCATCAAACAATCCAATCTTGTACAATAATCATGCAGGAAAATCGCAGCTATAACAGCAACAACAATCATGTACTTAGGATAATATTTCCTTAATATAATAACACCTATGCATAACTTCATTTTTATCTCATTTAAGCATTTGACTCCTTTCCCGTATGAGAAACCATTTAATGCCATATTCTGGAAAATTTTCCAGATTTTATGTTACAAATTTGGTTGATTAGAACCATTAACGGAAGCAAAATTTATCACCCTTTAATCAAACCACTCAGTTTGTACAGGGTATTTTGTGGCATTTTCTAATGTAAAAAAATTATATAAATAGTAAAACTATGTAGTTTGATAATGACAACGACAATAATTAAGAGATGCAACATAGATTATATTTTCTAAGCTATTACTTTAGTTGTTCGTATGTGTATATACGCAATCTACATCTATATACACATATATATTATATTTTTAAAGGAAACTCCATGAACTATCATTCTACTGTTAAATAGAGTGACGAATCCTTTTGTTGATGAATATAATTTTGCTTTAGCAATGGGGCAGAGAGAAAGCAACTAACATATAGCATCATAACTAAAGGGAAACTTGCCTTGTTCAGAGCTTTGAAGGTCGGGCCTGGATACGGTGTTGTCCATGTGGTTTCTTTCGAATGTGGGAACACTGCAGAGATAATCTAAATGAAGGTAGTGGAGTGTGTAATAAGTAAAAAGTTAATCTGATGCAAAGAGAGGGTAACTGTGTGGACGCAAGATGGTAAAGCCCATGATAGTATGTTAATTGCATTGCATTCCTCAGTGGTGTTATTTGCCTCTCAATTATTGATTGTTAATTGGGTCATTCAATACCTTGTATCAGTTCACTTTGTGCAAAAACAAACGGATGAAGTTGGCTGTTACACTGCAACGGACGAGATGCAAATGGAAGAACTCGCACGAGCAAAGAATTTGATAGCAAAGAATATTGCAAAAATTTAATGAGTATATGGAATAAAATATTAAAATATATGTCCAATAGTTATAAATGCTGTGACTGTTGTTCTTCATGTGAGGTATATGTAAATAATAATACTTTGGACCTTTATTATTCGAATTCCTTAATTCATTTGATTTTAATGCATTCATTCGAATTTGATTTATTACACTAAAATGGTGCCTTGTAATTAAATCGTACCTTGTAACTAATGTTTGTAATACAATGTCTTTAACAACATAAATGTTTGCTTGCAGCAAACAATGTCACTACTGAGAGAGCTGAGAAATCACACTTTATCTTTCTTTTCAATTAGGGAAAAAAGGCATGAAATTAAAGAAGATGCTTAGATTATTTGAGGGAAAAATATACCATATTAACCAATAATTTAACTAAGATCGTTGATATACTCAAATTAGTTCATTGAGTTTTATATTAAGGACTTAAAGAATAAGAATTTTTTCCCTGATCAGATTAGTGAAATATATCTGTTTTTCAATTAAAATAGTTTATTACGCAAATAGAGAGCCACAATTGACAATCTAAAAACAATCCAATAGCTTGTCCTTTTTTCCCTAAATAAGTTATGCATTAATTATTAATTAATTATTGTTAATATATTAAAAATTATATGTTTTGACTTGTTAATTAATGATCAATATTAATGAGTAATAGTAATAGTAACAAATGGTGGAAATTGAATTAGTCTATTGAGTAATATATAAATTAGATAGATATGAACAATATCTAGTTTTGTATATTTAAACATATTATTATTGATTTTGTTATTTTAAAGATTCATTAGTTGGAGCAAAATGCAATCTAGCTTCTCTAAACAAATTTAACAATTAAATCGAATTAGAGTCTTACTAAAACTGTTAAATTAAATTACATAAATATGACTCTTGGAAAAATTAAACATGTAAGTTAGTGTTGGGAATTCATTAAAACTTTACAGGTCTTGGGACAGATGAAATTAGAAAGTAAAAATTATATTAAAATTTAATTATTACTTATCTATAACCTCATCTAATTTCAAACAATAATGCATTCCAAATTAATCAATTTTGATAGTAATAAAATATTCCTAAAACTTAGTGAGCATAAAAAATGTCATATGTAAATATATGCAAAGCAGTTGAAAATGCTGCGAGTTTTGGTATTCACGTGAGCTATATATAAATTATATATAAAAGATGATGAAAGATTTATAGATGAACTTCAAAAGCATCAATACTGAAACATTATTTCAATGATAGGTCTTTTACGTTAAGCAGTAATATGGCTATCAAGTAAAAAAAAAATTGTGCAATCAAATTAAGATCTGATAATGTCACCACTGAGAGGGATGAGAAATCAGTCTTTATCTTCCTTCTCCTTTTTGATGTTCTTCAAGGGCTTCACGTAGCTAGACTTTGTAGTTGCGTTGGCAGACAATCTCGTCTCGTCATCATCAATTGATGAATCAGGCGGATTTTTTTTACGCTTAGATAATGTGTTCGGAGAGCCATGCAATTGAGATCTTAAGAGATCATTATCCACGTCCAGCATGCCACATGACAACAATGTTGTTGGTTGTGATGATGAAGTGTCAACTGTAGCCTTCTCATGAGTGATATTCTCAGATTCATTAGGTTGACTTCCCTACATAATTGTGTGAAGGAGAACTAACATGTTAGATTTTAACATTGAGTACTGAGATATGATGAGGAAGAGTTATTTGAATACCTTGATAGCAGAGTACGCAAAGTTTTCCAGTATCTTTTTATCAGTAGAGAACTGGATAATACCCATACTGCTATTTTGATACCTAATATTGCTTTCTTTTATCTTTAGCTTGACAATCATTTCTTTCCCCATACAATTGCTCAATTCTTTTGGAAAAGAACCTGGGTTTTTGTCCTGAAATGGAACAGGTTGGGAAAGTACAAAGGTTATAACACGAGTGTTGAGTTGAAGAAGTGCAATGTAAGAGTCATACCTTTGCTACCTTTGTCTTCAACTGCTCAGCTGAGAAGCCAATCAAATCACAAGCAAGACGATTGAAAGATATGATTGAACATATGCCCGTTGAATCAAACACCGTGTAATGGAGCTTAAATCTATGAAACAATATGAAATAGTATTTCAGTTACATTTTCATTTTTCATTGGTTAGAACATAAATAGTGTAGACGTTTGCTCATTTTGTAAAGAGATTTACATATAATCTTACTTGGGCTCAATAGTCAACACATCACTCGTACAGCTTTTGCATTTTAGTTTGTCATTTTCATATACAGGTTTGCGATCGCATGAGCACCCATCATAGGTCTAGCCGTAAGCAATCTCAATCTTTTGGATGCAAACCTTGGTTACAACTTCACACGGCTATTTTCAAAGAACGAATGTTGTCAATAAAAATCTTAGGATAACTAAGATAAAAGAAAAACGACATCTGAGAAACAAAGAAGCTAAGATTTAATGATCTTGTGACATGGAGCAAAAAATATACATTATAATTTATGTTTGTTAGCAAAATATATGTAAAATCTTATATGGACCAAACATATACAGAACATATAACAAAATTACCGACATATATATGTAATCAAGGTAGGAAACAAATAAGCAGCACGGACATACATATCAATAAGAAGCATATATAAAAATATATGTAGTATAGCAAAAATCATTCTTTCTTGGTTTGTCAAGAACATAAATAATATTTTGCATTCAAATGTGAGATGTAACGTGAATTTTAGTATTAGGAGTTTATGAAACCCTAAAAAATCTGGAAAAACATGGATTAGATGTGCACAATTATATCTTAATTTTATTAACTATAATGCACATCGAGATAATAATAATTTCGAAATTAATCAATCAATTAATTAACTATTAAATATTGTTAAGAGACATCATGGTACCTTAGTAATTGTGGAGAGTTCAGCCACATGTATTCTTATTGGAAATGTTAACATTGACTCATTGTCTACAACTTGGTAATCTGCACTGGAAAGTTGAGAGAAACGCTGCCTACCTTCAGGTATTTCGTCAAGGGTAGCAACAACAACAATAAAAATGATTAAGATTTTTCAGTCACTGCAAACATCAATAAATATTTATGAATACTAAATATGTATTGGTGGAAAATCTGTTCATGGGGCTTCACCTTTGAAGTAGGTCATGGGCATCTGGAATGTTAGGGTTGAACAAAACTTTAGTTGCTTCAAACACATTGCTAATATGCCCATACGCTAATAATGTGCCAATCAAAGTGTTAGGGTCATGAAATTGATTTTTGTTTAAATGCAAATATGTTTGTTGTACCTTGTTGGTTGTTTAACCTTCCAAATCTGACCACCACAATAATAGGATGCTCCGATCCTTGAGGCTTGCTGTTATATGTGTTTACCGCGCAGTTACCAAACAATACCACCTTTATTGTGCTCTCACTGCAGGAAATATGTTGCAACTTTAGTCAGAATTAGAGAATGACAGTAATAAGAAGATAAAATGATGACAATCAAGGTTGTTACTATTGATTAGAAAGAGTTAGGGTGATTGTTTTGGAAGTTCCAAATTTGTTTTTGAAGTCTTTCAAATCCCCAAGTGCCTGGAGGAAGCCGATGACATCTACACAAAGAATATATGATGTTATAATTTTAATTGTAGTGAAAAATTAGACTTTGAAAAGAGAACTTAAATGAAATGTTTATATATTAACCAATAAATCCTTCATTCTTTGCAGTGTATTCCGCAATATCCTTGATGGGGATGAAGTTGAAAGACTCTTTGGGAATAGGCAAATCCAATTCTTCAAAGTATGTTGTGTTGTGGAACTTAAGCCTCCAAGAATGTGATGTCACTTTGTACTTGTCATCATTGCCGACTATCTGAAAGTTTTCACAGTGGTACACTCTACCCTCTTTAAGATCATTCTTGTATCGCTCAATCAAGCTCTTTTGTGTTGCAAAACCTTCTATTCTTGAACCCTATTCAAATTTTGTGTTGTCATTTAAGAGTGTTATTTATCTTAAATAAATAGTTAATAACAAACGTTAACTCGCCTACTCATCTACAAGGAGCATTCCAATCCCCCAAGGAGCATACGGTGGAGCCTTCTTATAGGAAACCCACTTCCTAAGAACTCGAGCAACAATTGTCCAGGTCTCTTTACTATTATTGATATCTTTTATCATGTCCCGATCGGTGCTTGCCATGCTATGATGATGGTATAATTGGCACCCGCTGACAAAGCTACAACAAATACAAGTTTAATGTAGTAATGCACTAAATAACATAACATATAAATTACACAAAATACATGGTATATACATGGCACAAAATAAATAGACAAGCAAAGTGTCAAAGGCTTAGATTGGGAGATTTCAATAAAGGAGACACATCACAGAATTTTGAATACTTGTCAAATCCTCATTAACCGTTGAATTTACAGTTTTAAGTACTAATAATGTTTGATTTTAGCATAACTATAAGCAGCCCCATGGTTATTTTATTTCAGTTTGCATGGTATCCTAAGGCTTCAATATATCAAATGTACCAAAAGGTGGTTTTTTCCTGGGGGATAAAATTAAAGGCAAATGGACATCAAACTATAAAGAAAAAGTGTCTTAAATTGTTTAGCATCTCACCAATACCATCTTAGGCAAACATTTTATATTTTATCTTTATATTCTAGGCGGCTCTAAAACCTCCTCTTTTTCTTACATTTTTCATGCTATTTAATTCATCATAATTTAGTTAAGGGAGCAAGATTCAAACTAACTTCTCAGCTTCCCAAACATCATCCAAAAAACTAACAAAGCATAAAATCATGGTAGAGTTCCAAGCAATGCCATTTAATCCAGAAAAACCTTCAGCAAGTAACAAAGAATTTTGGTCATCATAATAAAGTTTTGGCATGCTTAACATTATAGTACTTCTTTTAAGTATCAGCAACACTTGTATAACCCATTCATATCCATTAACTAATCGAGAAAATCCTTCAGCAAGTAACAAAGAATTTTGATCATCATAATAAAGTTTTGGCATGCTTAACATTATAGTTCCACTCCATCAGCACTGCCTTAACCATCATTTTGACACTTTGTAGTGTGCATTACTACTTAAAAAAGCACTAAACAGTAGGGATATTGTATCTTTAGCTTCAACTACAAATTTTCATCAGGCCCAAAGCGTCACAAACGCGCACACTCATGCTGTATCTGTTACTTTGTAACATTTCTATGCAATACCCATAAAGAGAAGTAAGCCAACCTCCACTATACAGCGAAATGCAGAACTGAACCCATCATTTTAGAATCTTCAAGTATTATTTAATCATTTTAAATAGTTTTCTAATATTATAATGTACACCAAACAATTCAATCTTCTACAATAATCATCTAGGAAAATCCCAGTTATAACAGCAACAACGATCATGTACCTAGGATAATATTCCCTTAATAAAACACCTATGCATAATCTCATTGTTATCTCATTTAAGCATTTGACTCCTTTCCCGTATAAGAAACCATTTAATGCCATATTCTAGAAAAGTTTCCACATTTTATGTTACACATTTGGCTTATTAGAACCACTAACCGGAGCAAAATTTATCTGCCTTTAATCAAACCACTCAGTCCGTACAGGATATTTTGTTGCATTTTCTAAGATTTATATTAGAAGCTGGCACAAGAAGTGTATTCATATGAATTCAAAATGGACAACAAAAAAATAAAAGGTTATGATAGAACTTCAAGTGAGGAAATGTACCTGATGGTTGAACTTCAAGTTATGGGAACTTCAAGGTTATGATAGATGTAGGGCTGCGAGAATTCAAATATGATGAAATGGATACAATGATTAAGCAGACCAAAGAATTTAAGTTAGCAACACCAAGGAGGGCCTAATTATTAAGTGTTATCTAACGGATATCAGAGAGACGTAACTGATGGAATTCAGCAGCCACACTAATATATTAGTAGTAACGGTGAAAACTGAAATCTCAAATATATTAATTGTTAATTAATTAATAAGTTACCTGTGGAATTAGAAGATGCAATTTTAAATGTGGAATCAGAATATATGTCATCCAAAGCATAAACGAAATCGATTTTGCCGAATGGAATTTCAGAAAATGAAGCAAGAGCATACCAACCAGATCAAAAAGAAAAGAGGAATATTTAATCTAATGATAGATAAAGCAATAACAGGTTCATTTATAAGAAATTTGGTACATTTGATTTGAAGGTCACTTGGAATCCAGATCAAAGCTTAGGCCAAAATTCTTTTGCATTCTTATTAATGCTGAATATATGTCAAAATTTTTGGATGACAAACAAATCAAAAGCTTTTAAGTTTAAATTTGTATCAATATCCTGCACCCACATTAGCATTGGCATGTTGTGTAACTGGCTTTACTGAGATAGTAAGGAGGTAGCAAACACAACTGAGGTTCTGTTATTCCAAAACTCATAGCATCTTAGAGTTGCATAAAATAAAAAAAAGGAAACAAAATCTGTACCTGCTCACCATCTCTAAGAACTGAGAAGAATAGTGACCTCACCTTCCTCGACTGGCTTCGACTCTGAATTCGAAATCCCTTCTCATATCTCATGGCTTATTGTGTGACGATGGTGGCTAGTGAGTTACACGGGGCTAGTGTTGGGAGTGGGCGCTTGCTTGGGGCTTCAGTTGCAGATTTGCGAAGATGATCCCTGCTTCTTCGCTGACTCGCGACCCGCAACTCGCCAATCTCTAAATCTGCGAACTCTCTGTAATCTTCACTGTGTGAAGATCATGGTGGGACTGTGCGCAATGGATTCCAAATATGACGGGGAAAAGGATATTGAAAGGGCCATTGCATGATACACAAATACTACGCAATGTAAAAGTGAGCGTCGCATCGTTGTCTCTTTGCGATTGAGTCATTCCAATGCTCCCTGTTTTTGACTTGCTCCACCTAAAGATATGAAAGCAGAGAGCCATGATGAGATGATGCGTGAGGAGGAAGCTGCGGTAACTGACTCACTGAGGGAATCACATGGGCAGACCAATGCCGGGTTGTCACTGGACCACAGGATATTGACCCGCAAACCCCATAACCCGTTTCCCTCAATCGGATATTACGGGATTTCATATTATATTGACTCGCAAACCCCATAACCCGTTTCCCTCAATCGGGTATTACGGGATTTCATAATCGGGTATTACGGGATTTCATATTATATTGACTCGCAAACCCCATAACCCGTTTCCCTCAATCGGGTATTACGGGATTTCATATTATCGGATATTACGGGATTTCATATTATATTGACTCGCAAACCCCATAACCCGTTTCCCTCAATCGGGTATTACGGGATTTCATAATCGGGTATTACGGGATTTCATATTATATTGACTCGCAAACCCCATAACCCGTTTCCCTCAATCGGGTATTACGGGATTTCATATTATATGTAGATAGATAGATATTGGTAGCTATTAAATAATCTTTAAATGCCATTACCATTTGATCTTTAATATATAATTCAGTTAACTAATTTTAAAAATATTAAATTATTTTAAATTATTTATATTTATTTTTTAAAATTAATTTTTTTTGTTTATAAATTGATAATTTGATATGTAGTCTAATTATACATGTAATTATTTTTAAAAAATCACATAATATATATTATAATTAAGTAATTTAATAATTTTTTTATTTTTCTCGAATTAGTCAATTATATATTTTTTATATTAAGCACCGCAGGAAGCGTATACTCTTTGAATAGTAGTCATTCACACCCAACATTCTCCCACATAAATATTTGACTCACCGCTGCAAAGAGATTACCCACTCTGGTTTTTATTATAAATTTGTAATGTAATTAAATGTTGAGAAAATTAATTTACAGTTCCACATAGTTTTTTCAAGTTTTGAATTAGGTCCTTAAAAAATTTTCTTTTATGTTATCCTTATTGTTTGCTCAATTTTAATGTCGGTCCTTCCGTTATAACGCCGTTGATTTATCTCTCCCCTTCCTCTGTCCAGTCTCATCATCAACGCTGCTGTCTCGCTCACACTTCCGGTGCTCTCTCCCCCTCTTT